AACTATAATATTCGTAAATGTTTGGCCCCGCTGCGGGGGGGGATGCCTCGGACGAGCATTCTTATCGATTTGGACAGTAGATGCAAGATCGAATGCACAGAAAAGAACAACCGATGCGGTCCAGCGCCAGTCATACACGGGGTAATGACTGGGAGAAATGGGATTTGACGCCTTATAGTCTTTGTTAATTGGGTTAAACATCACCATCCTTGGGTGACAAATCAACAAACAGGAGTTGGTTAACTTAGAACCACCTTCATAACGTACAAACAAATTCATGGAGATATCCTCGTACCGGAACCTCAAGGGGGTTCAGGAAGACCATGGCTCCAGGATTCCACCGGCGGAATCAGCCAATCAGCCAAAAAAATACTCAACGGAACCCTCCTGTTGGAAGAAACCGGATATATACAAAAACCAACTTTTGAAAACAACCATTTCTCATCAAAGTTATGCACCGGCAGAATCAGACAGCTAAGGAAACGCCCATGGCGGAAAGCTTCTGTTAGAAGACGCCGACCGTGTACAAAAACCAACTTTTATAAACCACCGCTTCTAATCGGAACCAGCCTGCGGAATCGGCCAACAAGCCGGCCTAAAATCCTCCAGCAGAATCAACCAATCAGCCTAGCAAGAAAATGCCCGATCAAGCAAAGAAATACCCGGCGGAACCAAGAACATGCGCAGTAAAATGAGCCACGCCAAAGAGATGCCCGGCGAAACCAGCCAGCAAAAAGATAAGCGACAGCCATCTAAAATTCTTCAACCCAGCTGTGTCCAAATCACCCAACCAAAGAAATGCCCGGCGAAACCAACCAGCAAAAAGATAAGCGATTACCATCTAAAATTCTTCAACCCAGCTGTGTCCAAATTCAGCTTAAGCCCCCGAATTCCAAAATCTCTAAAATAATATTGTTATTTTAAATATATATAAAAAACATATAACTACATATGTATCATTAAATATTATATCAACATAAACAAATAAAATATATATCAATATCATATTTATTTCAAATAATTTTACCAAACAAAAAATCACAACATTCTATTTTATTTCACATACATTATATCAAAATACTAAGAACAATAAATCATATTATCAAAGGAAGTTTAACAAGAAACTTCCGTAGTACTGGAACTAAATGAGCTAGCTGCTTTGACATATAGCTATGACAGGTAGCTAGCATGACAAATAGATAGCTTTGACATATAGCTAGCTTGACAGATAGATAGCTTTGACATATAGCTAGCTTGACAGATAGATAGCTTTCCAATAGGCTTGCATGACAAATAGATAGCTTTGACATATAGCTAGCTTGACAGATAGATAGCTTTCCAATAGGCTTGCATGACAGATAGATAGCTTTGACATATAGCTAGCTTGACAGATAGATAGCTTTCCAATAGGCTTGCATGACAGATAGATAGCTTTGACATATAGCCAGCTTAACACGTAGATAGCTTTCTCAAGTATAGATTTCGTGGCAGGCGCAGCACTTTCGCAAGCACTCTCTGCGAGCTGGGGGATGGCAAGATGCAGAAAACGTTGGCGCTGTGCGTGAATTGGGCTTCCGGACTGTGCGCAAACCACCTCGGCTGCGACGCCTGTACGGAGGCGGTCTCGGAACGGTCCCGGAACGGTCTCGGAACGGTCTCGGAACGGTCTCGGAGACGGGCCCATTGGCACGGCCGCGCGAAGGTTTCGCAAGGTTTGAATTGCGTGGCAGGTGCAGCACTTTCGCAAGGTCAAGTATAGATTTCGTGGCAGGCGCAGCACTTTCGCAAGGTCAAGTATCGTTTTCGTGGCAGGCGCAGCACTTTCGCAAGGTGCTGCGTCCACTCTCTGCGAGCTGGGGGATGGCAAGATGCAGAAAACGTTGGCGCTGTGCGTGAATTGGGCTTCCGGACTGTGCGCAAACCACCTCGGCTGCGACGCCTGTACGGAGGCGGTCTCGGAACGGTCTCGGAACGGTCTCGGAAACGGTCTCGGAGACGGGGGGGGAGACGGGCCCATTGGCACGGCCGCGCGAAGGTTTCGCAAGGTTTGAATTGCGTGGCAGGCGCAGCACTTTCGCAAGGTCAAGTATAGATTTCGTGGCAGGCGCAGCACTTTCGCAAGGTCAAGTATAGATTTCGTGGCAGGCGCAGCACTTTCGCAAGGTCAAGTATCGATTTCGTGGCAGGCGCAGCACTTTCGCAAGGTGCTGCGTCCACTCTCTGCGAGCTGGGGGATGGCAAGATGCAGAAAACGTTGGCGCTGTGCGTGAATTGGGCTTCCGGACTGTGCGCAAACCACCTCGGCTGCGACGCCTGTACGGAGGCGGTCTCGGAACGGTCTCGGAACGGTCTCGGAACGGTCTCGGAACCTCGGAACGGGGAACGGTCTCGGAGACGGGCCCATTGGCACGGCCGCGCGAAGGTTTCGCAAGGTTTGAATTGCGTGGCAGGCGCAGCACTTTCGCAAGGTCAAGTATAGATTTCGTGGCAGGCGCAGCACTTTCGCAAGGTCAAGTATCGATTTCGTGGCAGGCGCAGCACTTTCGCAAGGTCAAGTGCCAAATTCGTGGCAGGCGCAACACTTTCGCAAGGTCAAGTACAAAATTCGTGGCAGGCGCATCACTTTCGCAAGGTCAAGTACAGAATTTGTGGCAGGTGCAGCACTTTCGCAAGGTCAAGTGCAAAATTCGTGGCACGCGCAGCACTTTCGCAAGGTCAAGTACAGATTTTGTGGCAGGCGCAGCACTTTAGCAAGGTCAAGCACAGATTTGGTGGCAGGCGCAGCATTTTTGCAAGGTCAACTTTCGCAGCCGGGGCTCGAAAATCGCAACTTTTAAGTACGAAAGTAGTACGCGAAGTCAACTTTCGCAGCTGGGGCTTGAAAATCGCAACTTTTAAGTACGAAAGTAGTGCGCAAAGTCCACTTTCGCAGCCGGGGCTTGAAAATCGCAACTTTTAAGTACGAAAGTAGTACGCAAAGTCCACTTTCGCAGCTGGGGCTCGAAAATCGCGACTTTTTAGTACGAAAGTAGTACGCGAAGTCCACTTTCGTAGCTGGGGGTACGAAAGTAGTGCGCAAAGTCCACTTTCGCAGCCGGGGCTTGAAAATCGCAACTTTTAAGTACGAAAGTAGTACGCAAAGTCCACTTTCGCAGCTGGGGCTCGAAAATCGCGACTTTTTAGTACGAAAGTAGTACGCGAAGTCCACTTTCGTAGCTGGGGCTCGAAAATCGCAACTTTTAATTACGAAAGTAGTACGTGAAGTCCAGTTTCGCAGCTGGGGCTCGAAAATCGCAACTTTTAAGTACGAAAGTAGTACGCGAAGTCAACTTTCGGGGATTGAACATCGCAACTTTTAAGTGCAGAGAAAGATGGGTAGATAGATAGATCAATAAACAGATATAGAGATAGCTAGAGAGATAGATAGAAAGAGAGAGAAAGAGACAGAGAAACAGAAAGAGAAAGAGAGAAAGAGAGAAAGAGAGAAAAAGAGAGAGAGGGAGAGAAGCAAGGGGCCAAGGACAGTTCTCCAAACTATAGTTGTTCACTGCTTTGAAACTTCCGCCCCCCGGCTCTGCCGGACCTTATATAATGTCTTGTTAAAAATAACATAATATTATATATATAACCATATACATTCATAATAAAATCAACCTAAACCATAACAAAACAATTAATTAAACACACACACACCATACCACACAAACAATAATTAGAATACATCAACCATCACAACTATACCCAATAATACAAATAAAACAAACCATACATATATCAAAATCAATTTAATCATGATTTCCAATATCATCCATATACAACATGTATCTAAATTTCTTTTCCAATTACCAATTTCATTTCTATAATCTTCACCTCCTCTAATATATAGATAAATAAACTCAATTCATCATAAATAAACAAGAAACAAAAAAACAAAAACACATAAATAGATAGAATCAACCACATATATTAAATTTGTTCATATACATTTTGGACATTGCAAAGTCTTACAGTAACCATGGCTTATATTGTCGATTCAACTATCAGTTATATTTATTGCCTAAACAAATCAACAATATTTTACCTAAAAAAGTTAATCGCCCCCATAAATCACAAATACACAAAATTAATCGACATCCTCCATATCGATTTCGCTGCAAACAGGCATCATCAAGCACATGCCTCTCCATACATCGACTTCAATAATCGGTGGATTCTTGAAGCCAATGTCCTTTTGATGGATCATTGATCTGATCTTGGCGGAAGGCAAGAACTTTGGCATCCGCCAGTCTGAGCCAGTGGCACAAAACAACAATCAACCGATGTGTAAGAGAACCTTGAATCGAGAAAAACGGTTCCCCTTCTGGCTTCCAATAAGTACCAACTAAAAAAAAAAAGGCTTCTGGTTTAATTGCAGAAGTGACTGTATATGCATCCACCAGAACAGAATATGTCCGGCAACGATATTGAGGTCGATGATGCTTCAGGAAGCCACCTGCGTTCTTGATGAAAGGCCTCCACAAACCACCAACTTACATTTCCTACTGTGTGATGTGGCCAGAATAGAATAACAAGCATGGTCCTGCTTGATGGTCACATCCCTCTTCCAACACAGTGCTGAATCAAAAGAGGCCAGGTGCAGATCAGTTTGCTTTGCCCTCGCATTGGCATGCAAACAGGAGCTTGGGCTGGCGGGCTGAAGCAAACTCCGAAGCGGTTGAACACGTCGGGTTGTGTCAGGCTAAACCCCCGCGCGTTGATTTTGCGGGGCCCCCCGTCACACGGTCACACGTCGTGATCTCGCCGAACCCCGCCTGCCCAAAGCCCCAAACTCGCCCTTTGGGCCGTGAGACGAGGCGCTGAGCGCCGTAAGCGAAGGCTTCCCGAGGCCAGGGAATGGAACCAGAAGCCGACTGAGGGATTTCGTGCCGGGCTGATGCATGCCAATTCGCTGCCAGGCCTTCTAAGCCACGGGCATATCCGCGCGTAAAACAAACCAGTCCTCAGGCTTGCACGTTGTTGGGCGCCTGGCACGTGAATTGAGCAGGTGTCGGCAGTCGACTGGTCTTGAACTGGTCTTCACATTGTCAACTTTCTGAGCATCCAACCTCAGGATAGTTTGGGTTGTTCGAGTTGTCGAACCACCTGTGCTTGTCCCCGTGCTTTACCAAGAACTACATTAGACTTCACCCAGCAACTGTGCCTTGCAAAGTCTCTCCATCCAATTGAACCTTGACTCGAGTGAATCCCGCCTAATCATATCATGTACGTATGTGTGATCAGCAATCGTACAAACATTCAACACCTCAAAGCAACCTGTGAAGGGGATTCTGCATCAGGATTGGCTTGAGGCAAGCTTGCCATAAATATGCACACCATGTCGTGGTCTGTTTGAGCTGACCTTTGCAAGGCGGAAAGCAAGTTGAATGCAACACAAGCAGCCCCACTCGGTTGAATGCCCGTCCTGCGAACCGCAACGGGGTGGCTCCGGTTGGCAGCCACATTTTTGTAAGGAGACATTCGACGCATAGCTTAAGGAAGCATTGAACTTGGCCAAGCCTAGCTCGTTGGCAAGGTTTGAACAGTCCAAGTCCTGCAATTCCCAAACTAACAAACAACATGCCCTTGAAGTGGTGGCCGAGTTGACTGCAGCCCTCGCAAACTGTTGCTTCCCTTGCATGGGCAGACCAAATCAAAACGTGATCAACTGCTAAAGTGGGAGTGCCAAAGAGGGCTCCCCCAAAAAATGTAGAAAAGGCGGGTAGGGGGTAGATGGTTGCCTGTTCTGTTTTTTATTTCACAATTCAACACATGCTCCATCTTATTCGTTTTTTCAGGGCTGATTTTGGGGGCAAGAAATAACGATATGAATGTGGTAACGAATTGATGATTTGGTCCCCTGTTTCGTTCCAGATTTCAACTTTTAGTTTTACTGATTGAATGAGGTTAGGACTTTCACGGGTTGGCTTTTGGGTGGGTCTTCTAGTTTGTCATTTGATGTAATGTTTATAGGTTAAAAGTTCGCTATAATTGTAACATATAAGTTTAGAAATGTTATGATTATAGTATGATTAGAACTGCAGCTCAGGACAATAATTTAATTGATACATCTTACTTCTTTCATACATCATTTTAAATATAATATTAATATCTCTCACTGTATTTTTAACATTAAACTTTTCACTTTCAAAAAAAAATATAATTTTATATTTTCTTTAACATCTTCTCCTTCTTTTCTTTGATACTCCATCATCCATAATATGCGGTCTATCATTTCATACTTTTTCTTACTAATTTTAAGAAACTGTTTAACATAATCATAAGGCGGAATTTCATAAACACATAGAAATATTAAAATCTCATCTTCTACATTTCTATTATTTCTTCTTATTCTCAACACACAATTGATTATATATGGATTATCTCTCCAAGTTTTACAAAGTTAATAGTATTATTCACTATTCCATTAGGTAAACTAATTTTGTATAATTCCATATTTTCCTTTTTGAAGTGGCAACAATCATAGCATTTGTTATTAATATAACTGTTGATTTCATCATAGTTCATTTGTCTCTTAATATATTATATTGCTTTTTCTTTAAGTAGTTTTGAGCTAGGGGGTGTCAGGTTTCATTTCAATTGTGATATGTTCTATAGTAATGCTGTCGTGTCGTTTCATAGTCTGTTTTATTTCTTCAACTATTTTTTCAAGATAAAATTGTAATGCCGCTCTACTTGTTATCTTATTCTGTTTGCTTGATGCATAAGAACGACAAATTGCAAATATTATTATTATACATAATTTTCGAACTAACTTCTAATCCAATCTGTATTTCTTCATCATACTTCATTAATCTTAATAATTCTTTTGGTGGTTTCAACACATATGACAGTGCTTTATTGCCTTTTAAACATTTATTGCGAATCTCAACATAATATTTACTTTCTCCTACTTGCTCAATGTAAAAAGACGGTTTCCATTTCCTCTGTAATTCTCTTAAAGCATCACATTGTTTCAGTCTTCGCCACCCTTCACAACCATTAATGTAAGTAGTGATGTTTGAAACTAAACCCTCAGGTAAGCTAGTCCAATTCTCAACCATAAAATTATTCTCAGACATTTTACCCTCACTCATTATTTTCTCTTAATATATAAGGTTTTTTCTCTTTAAGTAGGTGGTTTATTTATGTTAAGGGGTGGGGGTTTATGTTGATAAAAATATTTTCTAACAAATAATGTAATGGCAAGATTAACGAAAGACCAAATAATCAGCAACTTCTATTATGACTTAGACGAGGGTTTCGGAAGCACACAAGCGACACACAAGAAGGCAAAGGAAGAAGACCCAACAATAACATTAGACGATTGTAAAGTCTTTCTTAAAGAAGCAGCCAAATAAACAAATCAAAAATTATAGAGGTACTAATTCCTATACCGCTCCGTTTGCTAGGTCTGAATATCAAATAGACATAATGCATATGTCACCTTTAGCAAAAGACAAGAACGTTCCACAGTATGCTTTAGTCGTGACTGACATCTTCAGTAAATTAGCAGATGTAATACCGATGGATGAAAGAGACGGAGAGCAAGTTTTGAAGGCACTTAGAACAAGTTTTAAAAAGATGGGTTATCCTATGTCTGTGTATACTGATGATGATGGAGCGTTTGCAACCAAAAACCAAGTGCAGGATTTCTTCAACAGCGAGGGTATCAAACACGTAATAACGAAGACACACGCAAATGTAGCCGAACGTTGTATTAGGACGATGAAAAACAAAATTCATGATAGAGTATGAAATGGACCGATGCCTTAACACCAGCATTGAAGCAGTATAACAGCACATTACACTTATCAACAAGGATGACACCAACCGAAGCACACAAGGACGACAATGAAATAAATGTAAAGGTCAATCTGAAACTACGAGAAAAGAACAAAAGAAAGTATCCCAGAATACAGGAGAACGATAAGGTAAAAGTGTTTCAAAAGAAAAGGGGTAATTACGCCGACAGAAAAGAGTATGTCAGTCGTTGGAGTAATAACTTATTCAAAGTTGATAAAATTGAATATGATATTATGGGCAATAATACTTACAGAGTAGCTGGAATAAACAAGCCACTTTTGAGACACGACATTTTGCCAGTTAATGATTAAACATATTTCTTGGTATCTTCCTTCAATATACTTGACTTGGTAGAAATCCAGACTTGATTGTTTAGGTTCTTTAATGACTTGTTCATTAAGTTTTTAATATAAACATTTCGTGTATTCTTGTATTCAGTGCTCTCTCTATCAACTTCTTTTGGTTGATAATTATTAGTATTATTGTAAACTGGTTTCTTCATACTTTCTAACAGTTGATAAATGCGTCTATTTTGTTCCATTATTTCATCAATTTTCAAAATTAGTTTATCCACTCCGTCCATATATACTATATTATAAAATTAAAGTTATAAAGCTAAATGCTTTAATTTCGAAGGCCTTTGATACTTAAATGTTTAAATTCTTCGCCTTGCACCATAAGTCTAACAATGTTATCTAAATCTTTTTGAGTATGTCCACATACTAATGCTTTGTCTAGATATAAATATTCGTAGCTAAGACCACAACTAATTAATAAAAACTAATATTTTTTTAGTTTGAGTACGAGTTAAGACTATTTTACAACCACACTTACAAGTATAATAACTAACACCATTATAATTATTGTCTCCAATTTGCTTATGTAATTCAAGTGCTCCAAAATGTAAATTTGTTAAACTTGAAAATTCGTCCATATACTATATTATTCAACTATACTTTTAAAACTAAATGTTTAAATTATGTTAAATCTACTCTTTAAATACTAATTTTTCAACATTTGTTTAATAGTTTCCTGCGTTTCGTTATCACCATTTTCCGAGATTGTTGCATCCTTACCCCATTTAAAAGTTATATTATGGACATCAGTTTCTAAGTTGATACTGTCTGTAGTTCTATCAATATTCATTTTCTTATTATTTTTACTCAATTTGAAACTTGTTGGAATACACGAGCATTTACAATTTCCTTTCTTTTGTATTTCTACTTCATTTTTCATTTCTAACATCTTTTTTACACATTGGACAAGCAAACTAAAAAACTGATGTTTCTTTAACAATTTCTCCGCTATCTTCATCTGTTGAAGAAACACTTAAACCTGTCTTATTCTTTTTGTTTCTCTTTTTTGGCATTTTTGTTAATATTTACATTTTTTTTGATATATTGTATTCCTAGCTTAATTATTTCTAGTGAATAATAACACAATTTTTTATTTTATTGTCAGTAATTATTACTTGTTCTATATTCTCCACTTCATCTATGATATTGAAATAATCTGTATAACTCCTTTTCATATTAAAATAATGAGATAAATTATTTTTCATTTCTGTCTTTCTTTTCTTATAAAGTTTTTTCATTGTATCGTCTTTATTCCATCTATATTCCACAAATTTCTGATGATGTTTTGAATTTAGATGTTTAAATAAATATTTGTCATCATAAGTCTTACCACAACTGCAACGGATAATGGTCATATAAGAAATAAGATAAATTATAATTAATCTTAATATTTCATGCATGGTAGAATATTCGGAGGGCACAGCACTTGGGGTTTTTTACAATACATCAAACTAATTAGCTTCAATGCTTATTGATTGAAGAAACGGAAAGCCTGTTCCATTATGTTATTCACAACCACTCATAACATAAAGATGTTCCATTTAATATTAATTACAAGTGAATTTTTAAATATAATTTTCTATATATCTTTAATATCAAATATGACAAACGTTCCAATAATAAAACCAATAAACATAACTGATTATGAATTCAAACAATCCAAATATGAACATGTACCAAAACTACCTTTTCGCTCAATTGTTGTTGCTTCATCAACAGGCGGCAAAACAGTTTTAATCCAAAACCTTATCCTAAATGTTTATAGGGACTTCTTCGCTCGTATATTCATTTTTAGCCCGTCTGTTCATAATGACCCTACCTTCATT